GAAGAGGTATGACTTGGAAGAAGATTGTAGATATGTAGGATATTTGGTTTACCACTTCTTTCTGAGACAAAGCAATCTCTAAGATTCCCCATGGTGACTCATCACAATTTACCTGAATTTATTGACTCTCCATGTTTGTCAGTTTTTCTTGCCTTTTTTTTTTTTTCTCCCTTAAGAATTTGCAAAAGGTGAGGCTTCAATGATTTTTTTAGCAAGAGGGTGGGATGACTCTTTTACCCTATAGGATAAACTCCTGTGATGTACACATGCCAGAATTCCTGATGATTTTCTCCAAGGCAAATATTTTTTCAACAGTATAACATTAGCAATATCGTCTGCATCACTTTGGCTTTCAGACTCTGGCATGGAAATACACAATAAACATATCAAGGTAAATTGATGAAAGGAAATGATATGGCCACATTCCTTTGCAGTCTAGCTGTTATCAGAAACATGTATGTAGTGGTAGAAGATCCACAGAGTAATTGGGTGCTTCAGTGCAAAGATTTTAGAAAGTGTAAATTGTGAATAATATCACTTATTCACACTGTCTCTGTGTGTTCTCCCACTGTCTTTGTTGCCAATTAGGTAACTTGAATATCATTCAGCAGTGAGTCCAGAGTAGTGTGAAATGCAAGTGGTTTAAATGAAACTAGAACACCATAAAACTATTCACGCAAAATAAACTTCTAAGTGATTAAAATGAAAACAAAATCAGACAATGAGTAGAAAGTGTGCTTGTGGAAAGAAAATGTGCCATGAACAAAGGTTATGAACAAACACCCAAAAGATGCTTATCACTCTCAATTCAGCAGCATGCAGCATGCACAGCCCCATGCTAAGGTGGCATGCAAAAAGAGAAACACACAAGAATCCACTTTATGTAGTTGCAAAACAAAAAAGGCATTTCATCAGAACAGCTCCTTGATCTGCCAGAGTAGTTCAGGGTATGCTAATGTAATGCAAGTTGGCAAACATTGCAGGGAAGGCAGGGGGTGAGTGGGAAAACAGGTGTATGGCTCAGGAGGAATAAAATAGAGTAGATCCAGTTAACTTAGAGAATCATGTGCTTAACGATAAAAGGGTAACCAATTAGTGTCCCTGAAATCCATCCATGTGGGTGAGGATTTCAAACTCTCTAAGGCCAAAACTAGTTACAAAATTACCTTTTAAATCTTCTACTAAAATCGAACCTTTTCTTCTAACAATAAAAAATAAAACTATGAATACAAAATACTACTCAGAACAAAATACAGGAATGTCAAACAAATTATCAAATACATGGAACAGACTCTAGCCATGAAACTGTAAAAGTCAGTTGCCTTCTGTATTAGAAATGTCATCTTGGACCTCAGAAATGCCAGTAGAAGAACAGGGGTGCCAGTTAAAAGTAATGTTCTTAATAAACAAACTTTCCACCTTCTGTTTTTAAGTTTTGTAAGTAAAACTTGGGAAATCAACCCTGTGAGAAATGTATATTAATTCTTCATTTAGAGTCAGTCAGAAGGAGTACAAAGCAATTTGGATAGAGAGATTTGTTAATTCTGAGACAGTACTACCCATCCTTGGTAGAGAAACTGTAGTCCAGGGATAAACAAGATCAGAAAATCTATGCTTTTGAGGAAAAGAGGTGGTTCAGTAGTCCCTCTGAGAAGCTGTCACTTATCACAAGCATGTTAGACAGAAAGTAAAAGAAATTCTCAAGCTCCATTTCTCAACAGATGAAATCAGAAAGCAATTTTTTTATAATGTATACAGTAAACCTCAAGTGGGCTATCTATAAATGTCTCGTAGACTCCTACTGGTCACTGTTGCAGTCATGAGATAGACTTCTGGTTAAGAAAAAAAATGAGTTTATGGCAACAACTCCACTGCTATCTATTGTAAAGGGCTGAGAACCTCAGATACTTCCTTTTGTAGAAAGTAAAATAGTAGTCTTAGAAGTTAATTAATATTGATACAATTATTGTGATTTACAGGAGGATCTGCATGCAACTGGTCAGTATCAGAGAGGAATACTAGCTTGAGAAACAAGAAAACCAGCTAATGCTGCATGAAGCAGCTTAGCAAGATTTTTTCCTTATATGACTTCCTATGAATTCCCTGTGTATATTTCATTCATTTTTTATAGCTAAGACTGCAGTATCATGATAAAATTTTGCATTAAGTGAAGAACATTTCAACTTCATTTATTAAAATTAATAGAAGAGCAATAACTGACCTCCAACAGATTGTTCATGTAACTGAATGTATTGTTATATATTTTGGGAAGTGTATTTGATTAATGAAACCTAAGGATATGAGTTCTACTTTTAATTTTAATTATTTGAGGACAATAAAATGCTATCCTAGGTGATCTACTTTTCTATAAATTCTTTCTTAAAATTCATATAAAACTAAAATAATCTAATGTTAGATGTAATTAATATAATTTTTTATAATAGCAATATTGCAAAAATACTATCAAAGAACAAATACTGAATTGTTATCATTGATAATACAAATTCACGTATTTTGCTTAAGGAATCTAATAAGTGGGAGACTGCTCTTATAAAATCAAGAAAACAGAAATACATATTAGATGTAAACAATCCCACAGAAAGCCAATATATTTATGTGAAGGAATTTTCTATAACAAAAATTGTGGGGTTATCTATTTCACAAATGGTACTATTGAGATTGACATAAATAATTCCTATTTTGAAAGTATTGCAGTGTCAAGCTGACTGTAATTAAATTCCTCAACTGATTTGCACTCAGATCTTTTTATTTGGACAAAGTTGTTTATCATGAAATATATAGACTGATAAAAGGATAAAATATACCAGATTTTCAAGCTTTGGGATATTAGATTTATTAAAGGGTGTTTTCCCCACATTCAAGAAAATGAATTATAGTTATACTCCACTTCACAAAAGACAGTGTGAAATGAGCAGGTTGCTGAGAAAGCCAGCAACAAACACTAAATGAGCACTGTTTGGTGGCACTGTCGTCAATGATTTCTATAAAACTAGGCTGAATGTACCTGACCTTTACCTTGCTTCTCAGAAACACAGTGTAGATGCCTTAGCATTGCTTTTCACAGCTGATGGGTCAACTAAAGCTTGTTGGCAATTAAAAAGCTTTTGAAGGCAATGTTATTTGTTGGGGTTTTTTTTTACCTCCCACAAAAATGTATCTGGCTTCACCACAACAATCAGACACAGTATTTAACTTCAAGTGTCAAGAAATGACTTAATGGGTCAAATAGCAGTTGCTTTACAGGTGAAACCATAGGTGAACTTTAGATGTTAAGGGGTTATCCTTTTCCATTTCACCTACAAAGTAGATTATTTAAGATCCTTTGTGATGTTTTTTCACTTTTTGGGGCATCAAGCTGCCACCCTAGTTGTTCATTCCCCTGTAAGGCCATCTGACCACCCAATGGCCACTGAATGTCTTTCAGCTGTTTAACCTGTGGTTTCTTAGCACAACTTAGTCATAGCACACTGGTATGACACAAGACAAACAGTGGAAAGCAAAGAGTTACGCCTTTTATCTTCTTAAATTCAAGTCACTACAGACTTCCCTCTCTACCTTGCTTCTCCCCTTCATGGCTTTACCAGTTTTGTTATAGTTGGAATGGACAAAACTGAAAAAAACCTAAACCTTCCCTTCCCACAGCATGTCTGCTCTGCCTTCAGAGAGTGTCAAACAAGACAGGGAGAAAAAGGGACTTTGATATGTGTCATGGCTGCTTGTAAATGTCAGGAGAACTGTAAGAAAGATCTTGAAGATCTACATGCAAGTATTTGTCATGTGATTTGTTGATGGTACAGCTGTGTAAAGGCAGAAACTAGGTCATTCACATTGGTACAGGTGGTTATTTTGTAAATTAAAGCACACTTGAAGGTCTCTAGAAGGTTTTGCTAATCTTTCTCACCCAACGAGCCTAAAACAGTTTCTCCATTTATAACTAGCTGTCCTGAAAAGTTGTAGAGGTGATACAGTATTTTGTTCCCTTTTAATGGAACCCCCTACCTTTCCATGCCACTCTTTGAGAATAGGCCCAATAAACCCTCTCCCTACAGAACCCCAAGATTTTCATTTTCCCTCCACAAAAATCTGTGTCCTTCTCCTCTTTGTGAGAGTCTCTGTTTCTCAGCTACATCCTTAGGACTTCCCAGCTCTTTCTGAACCTGGGCATGTCAAGAGAGGATGTAAGCCACAAGACAGAGATAAGAAAACCCAGTCAATTCAGAGGTGTACTAGTGGAGAGCTTGTTGAGCAAACAACTGACTAACCAAAGTTTGTAAGGCTTAGTATACCCTTAAATATTCTCTTCTTGACTCTTATTATGAATATCATTGCTTTTGATTCCCAGGATTATGTCATCTCTATAGTATGTCCTCTTACACTAGATTTCATCAGGAAGAATATATATTACTAAGGTCAGGGTAAAGGGACTTAATGTGAGATGATGCTCAGTCATCATCAGTAGCTCCATCCTCTCTTTTAGTGAGGAATTAAGTGTCTGTGTTAGAATAGATTATCATGGAGCTGTGGGAAGAGAGAATAAAAAGCACAGAAGGGATGGATCAGCTAATGTATTTTATGTACTAAGAACAAAAATGACAGTTCCATTTTTGAAGCATTTTGGGGTTAAGCCTTGTTATTTGTGGGGAAAAAAGCCCCAACAAGTAATAAACTATTAATAATAAGCTGCTTCTTTTTGCATCTCAACAAAAAAAGCATGGAAAATTTTAGCGATTTCTACAGCCTTCCATTGACTCTACTTTTAACATAACCTTGATTTTAATTCATGCATTGTAGGCAGAAAATTAAAAGCTTTAAGAAAACAGCGATTAGCTCTTATGCTTTATTAAAACTATTTGCACACTCTTTGTTGCTCTTAAGAGACCTCCCAGTAATACAAAATGCACTTTTAATACATAAAGGAGCAAAAAGTCTCAGGGAAACAGAAGCATATTAGAACAGAGTTCAATGATATAGGAAAGTACCTGGATAAAAATCCCCTTGCGCAAACATGTCAATCACATAGCGACAGAATGCATATTGATCTAACAGAGTAAAAAGGAAGAAAAGAGTAATGAAGAAAATAAATTTAACATGCCATTTTTGTTTAACAGTGAAGATAAAGCTTGGTAGTGCAAAGTCATTTCAATAGTCTTTTCATAAGTAGTCTTACACGTATGTTTGGTTTTTTTCATGACCTTCAATTAATTCATATGTTCTGAAAGCAACAGTTGTCCAGGTTTAATTCAAAACCCCTATCAAAAACTGCAGAGCTTCTAGTAGTCCAGAGCTACCAGCTCTTCTTCTGGGCTGGCAGCGCACGACTTTGGTTTTGGCATATATCCTAATCCCATGCACAATTAGTATGTAAACTGCTGTCTGGACACAGGGCTCAAGGAATTTTCCTCATGCTTAAAGATCAATTTCAGAGACAGGTGATAGAAAATTTTAAAAGTTTTCTATTGGGGTATTTTGTTAATATTGTTTTAACAGTATAATGAATATGTACACTTAGTGAATGGGAATATAAAGAGAACTCTGTGTACTTACACTCCAATAGCAATGAGACTTTCCACAGAATTTTACTGTTTCACTATAGAATTATCTTCCAAACACTAATCTTTACAAATATATATATGTATATATTAAATCTGTATATATATTATATATATATATTAAAACTACACTATTCAGAAATTAAGGCTTCTGAATCTAAATGAAGCTAAAGTTCTAGAAATGTTGATAGTGTATTGATTTCTCCTATACACAGGCAAACTGGTGACCTTAATAAAAATTTCTAACATTAAGAATGTTGAAGAAAAGTTATCAGTTGTAACTGAGTACCCAGGGGACTATAAGGGGCAATAGTTTTGAAAATAATGTTGATGACCAAATGACAGCTCTGGTTAGCTAAGTTAGTTACCAACTGTCCTTGAGTGAAGCAAATTCATCCATCTGCCCTAGACTCTTCTAGCATAGTTCCTACTCTATAGAAGTTACAACTCTTCCTCTCTCTACCAGCTGTTTTATCTCTGTCCTTACCACCTACAAAGCCACTTTCTCTTTGCCAATTTAAAAAATTAAAAAGAAAAAAAAGCAGACCTTGGAATTATTTAAGTTTTAGAAATGGCACTCTTGTTCTATCTAACTGAAAATGCCATTCCCAAGTATGTGACACTCATTATATTATTTGTTTTCATACACAGTTCACTGAAGCATCAGTATCATTTGATGTTGTCATTTATGTAGTTGCTGCTCTGTTAAGTTGACTGTCATAGAAGTCCTGGGGTGGAGAACTGCAGCTTTCAAATCATTATTTCCCATGCAGATGTAGAAATTAGGGAAAAGGTTTACCAGATAACAAATAAACAAAAATCAACAATAAAATTGCTTCTTCTAATTGATATGAACCTATGCAGCTATTTTGTGTTAGTGAGATGGCAGGGGTAGTACTAATCAATACTGTAGAGCCTTGGGCAAAATTTTCAGAATGTACACAGAGTTGTGGCTGTAAACATTGTTTTTAAAACCTCTAATGACTATTCGTAATTTTTACTTTCATATTTAGGAATTCAAATTTATGATTCTGGCTGGCTTTAACCTTACATTACATCCTTAAGGCTGTAATATCTGCACTAAGTCTATATGATAATTAAAAAATAAAGAAGTAGCAGCACATGTGCGAGAAAACAAGTATATACAGATCTATGTTCTTAAACCCACCTAAAGCCACTGAAGTCAGCAAAGTGTTTCTACTGACTTCAACACACTTGCAACTAGGACCTCAATGAGCATTAGTAAAAAAAATGTAGCAATGCCAACTCTTCAGCCCACAAAGCCAATGACAGGGCGCAGTTCTTTTTCAAAAAGCTGTGTTCCTTACCTCTCTCTTGCCAAAACAAGCTGCCTTTATCCATACTGCCTGTTGGGAAGATCCCCTGGACCATTTTGGGGCAAACTGTCTGTACAAAAGTCTGCTAGATGGCATGGTACAAAACTATGGCAGGGGACAATAAGCTATATGGACAATCACAGGACATAGCACAAGCCTATGTTGGTTCTATATAAGTTAGGATAGAAACATAGCCTGAGGGCCTAGAATCACACCATTTCATTGATATTAAAATATTCCATTCTTTGAACATAGTCCAGAAATAAAACAGACTGCGTTATTGGTTATGTTGGGGTGTTTTTCATTGTTTATTTTTAATTTACTTTTCTTTTGGGGGGCTTTTTAGATTCTTGTTTGTTTGTTTGTTTTGTTTTTCATAAATGTAATTTGAATAAATTTAAAAAATAACCCCACCTTAATCTTGATTGTACTGAGAACAAAGATTTTATATTCATTTTCTCCACATAGGATTTCTTTAGTAACTCAACCCCTAAAAACTGGGATTTATAAAACAAATTGAAGGCATAATTTAAAACTCTAAATAATCAAAATACAATTTCTACTGTATATGAAATAACAAGGTGCTCTATAACATCGCATTTAAGTTCATGAGAATGCTATCAATCAGCAAAGATTGAAATCTAAGAAATTTTAAACGAATATGATTTTTCATGTGTCTCTTCATGGCTAAAAATCCCTTTTAATTTAAACACTCTTATTAAAACAGAGAATTTCACACTGTAATTTTCACCTTATAACTCTGTAATGGTGGCCCAAATATTCATCTAAGTGCTAATAAATCCTGTCAAAGTTTGGAACTGGATTCTTAATGATAAAAATACTCACAGATATTTCTGTTCTTGAACTTCATGTGATTTACCCAGAGAGATAACCTATCTTTTTTTAATTTCAGCCTGAGTAGGAAATGATGCAACAGTAGGGAAATCATAGCAGCTTTCTGTGATCAGTGCTATATTTTTTATTTTGTTTCAGATAAGCTGGCAGAACTACTCCCTTGAGCAAGTAAAAGTAAAGATCAGGAAATCTTGGTAAAACTGCATTGAATTTAAAATTATGTTCAGCTTGGATCACAGTGGGACTGAAACATAAAAATGAATTTTCTGAGAGTATCCAGCTGGGCAACAGTTGCCTGTGGTGGAAAAAAGAAGGACGACAGTAGAAAAGGCAGCTTTCACTGGATGTGTGTAACCCTCTCTCCAGTGATAAGGACAGTTTAAGAGGCTCCTTCCTTCCACCACTCCAGCTGGTAATTCTCACTTTCACCTAATGGAATTCTGTGCAGAGTCCCTGGGGTCACACTCCAAAGCAGACTTACAAGGTGATCTGTTAATGTCAGATGTCAAGATGGATCATTTTGCTAATATTTATCAGCTAAAAATGGTGAAGATGTGTGGTGTAAAGCCCACAAAAACCAAACCAACAAACAAAAATCCACCACTACTCTCTATTGGTCTCTGTAATCTTCGATCCCTACTTAAAATATTTTACTGGAAGTAAAGTGCCTCATGTGTACACCATTTCTTTTTGAGAGCTTTACCCTGAACAATATGGACTGGATCCCATGTGCACTGAAACTCTGCCAGAGCAAACAAAAATTGAAAGAGATTTGCACATCCCAAGGGAACTGAAGAATTTGCTGAATTTTCTCTTTGGTTACAGCAATCAGTGTGATAGATGCTGCTGTGATTTCATGCCTCAGAGGTCTGAATATTTCAAGTAAAAGACAAAATTGTTTAGAATACTGTGAAAAGATGCTAGTTTAGTACACTGCATGTCAGAAAGTGGGCTATGTCTCTCAGTTTTCCAGAAACATATAATTTGGGCAACTCCCAAGGGATCCAGAGCTGATGGTTATGAAATTCTGAGAGAATCTACCCAGGTAGATTCAGATATCCAGTAAGGGATGTCTTCTTTGATGCTGAGGCACGGCTTTATCTGTGGTGATCAGCTGAAAGGATCAGATAGGTGTGTCATGCTACGCTGAGTTGCCCCTATCAATGTCAGAAAAATCCCGTGGCTGCAGTGTGGCAGTTTATACAGAAAACCAGGTCCTGCTGCCTGTATTCATACAAAATGTTACCTAATGCCATGAAAGGGCCACAGAGAAATCAGAGAACCAGTCAGTGCAACCTGGGAGTAGAAGAATCCAGACTTACTCCGAAAAATAGGAGCATATAGTTAACACCTTTGCTAACTATATGGTGTTGATGCATGTTAATTCTTTGTTTTATCACTTCATTTCTTCCTTTTACCAAAGTAATAGCATTTCTTTCTTTTTTAGGAGAAGTTTAAAAGCTTTCACATTAAATTACATCAGACAGGTATGATGCTATGTCATACATTACCTGACAACCTGACAGTGTCTCATATAATATGAAGTTAGATTAAATTATTACATTCCCTTTTCTCTGTTGTTACTTTCTTTGTCATTACAAAGGATGTGTGCAGATGTAGAAACAAAACAAAATTCCCAACAGGTCATTTAACAGTCTGTATTTTCCAAAATAACTCTGCTAGCAATCCATTATATAAAACACTACTGAGCAAATCCATGAAGTCTCAGACCTATCTGAAGAGAAATTGGTCCTTAGTAAAGAAGGATTTAAATTAAAATGAATCTTTAGCCATGACAAACTGTTAGAACCTTCTGGTTATATACATAAAACTTATTTTATTTTCAGTAGTCTCCTCCTAGCAGTATGAAATTCATTTGGAATTTATTTGTACTGCACTTTTGTTTTCATGGGCAGACTTTGGTCCTTGACAGCTTTAACTCTGTTCTCTCTCCTTCTTCCCTACTACCTTTTTAAGATCTTCATCTGTTTCCTCCTCATTTTGTTTACCTTTCTTGTCCGATTTAGATACAGTCTGAAGAGCTTTCTCTTCCTTAACTTTCGTTTTGGCCTTTATTAGCCCAGTTTCTGTTGGTTTAATCTCTGCCTGCTTGACCTTCTCGGCCGCCTTCGTTTCTCCTTTTCCATCCTTCACTTCCTTTTTAACTTTTGCTTCCACCTTAGCGCTCTTTACTTTCTTCTCCTCTGCAGGTAATAAAGAAAAAAGCTTTCAGTGTCATTCTTTCCCCCAAAAATAATACTCAATGCCATTTATTTTACATTGTGCTATTACTAATCAGCATTTCTTCATTATTAACACCTTGGTCAGATCTGATGAAAACTATAATCCCCTTAAACCAGACAGACTTAAACAGAAATATGAGATGTAAACAGATTATAACTTCAGTCCTGCACCAAGTACTTGACTGATACTAAATGAAGTAGGCTATGGCAAACAGTATCGAGTGTTTCTATTGATAGTATGATAATTATTATGGTATAAACTAGGGAGAGAAATGTTGGTCATTAAGCAAACAAATACAGACAGTACTTCCAGGTAAAATCTGAGTAAATTTAAACTTCAGAGATCAGAGTTAAACTCTATTGTAAGCCGTAAAAGTAGTTAGTGTGTGGCTATTTTTAAGGGTTACTCTCACACACTAATTCTACATCTTCGTCCAAGAAATCTTGAGTTCTTGAGTCTATCTCTACACTAGTCCCCCAGGCCGAAAGATTAGTCTGAGACTAATTCACAAGGTGTAGTGTAGCAGAGCAAGGAGATTTCAAAGGAGAATTACCAAATTGTAAATATCAGTAGATGAAGCTACACAGGGCTTGGCGAGATCTGGAGTATTCCATCTGCTTTTATGTGTCAGCAACTTTTTTCTCATCTGAGACATGGATGTTGACAAATATGTTTGTTTCTAGTTCACTCCAGTGGAAAATCCAGTTGTATTATAAAATGCCACTGAAGTTGTTTTAAACTAATCTTTTAGTTTGATGTTCATATTTCTATTTTATTTGTAGCTGTAAGTATCTTCATACTTGAGGCAAAACTTGCATGCTACCAAATCTATGTTTTCTGTAAGGCTCTAGACTTCTATTTCTGTCAAGCCACTGGGGTGACTAGACTGATTTTATCAATATATTAATGGAATAGATCTAAGTATTATAAATCAGAATGTAGATATTTATGTAAGATCATTTCTCCTTCCAAACAAAGCCACAACACAATCAGGTATTGCTGGCTAGTGAAGAATTAATTTCCTTAACTAGTTATAGTGAAAATACACGTCAGATCACTTACAGATAGGCCTAGTTGTTTTTCAGGGAAATGGTGGTCCATACTTTTAATTATCGTCTTTGAAATTTCAACAGATTTTAATCAAGCATAGAATTAATCCCTGGATGTTCTAGAGACATTCTAAATATATATTAATTTCATTTTAGTTTCATGTAGCTGATTTTTCAGGCACCTTGAAAATCTCTGCTTGAATAAAATAAAGTTTATGCATTTTTATGTAAATTTGGTTTAAAAATATAGATAAATAAATACCTTTGGGAGGTTTCTTTTCAGCTTTTTCATGTCTTTCAGGTTTATCTTTCTGAGTTACTAGAAATGAGAAAATTGTATGTTAGGGAAAAAACTCACAAAGAATGAGAAAATTCTGCAAAAACACAGTAATATCCCTGGAAATTTTACATTTCCTTATAATTCCTGCTTTTCACTTTTCAAAATTATCATTTCTTTTTCTCAGGTTCACACAGTGGGGTAAGAAGCTTCAAAATATCTGTTGAGAGTCTAACCAGAAGACAAGTGAGTCACACAGATCTGAAGCTTCACTGGGAATGTTTACACTGCATATTTCAGAAGATACAAATGTGCTCATCTCAAGTTCTGAGAATACACAGACTTGTTCTTCTCATGCTCCAGCCAAAGGAAGCCATGTGGCTACATTTGTCTTACAGAAAGGTGTTTTTCTTACCTTGGGCTCATTGTCACACAAACACAGACACAAGTCTGGTGCTCACTTCAGAGCCCAGCTTGAGTGAATTCATGTCTGCACAGGATACACTGTGTAAACACACTGCTATGTCCCAGAAAGGCTGACAAAATTTTATGCAGAGATTTCTATCTTTCCCTCTTGGTCACCATCCAGACAGATTGCCAGAACAAAACAGCCTTGAGAGTTAATTACACTTGTTTCAACTGACAACTTCATAATAACAACATCCTCTCTAATTGAACTCCATCCTGGAATTGCTGCCTGTACGAGCTATGACTGATATTTAGACTTGGGTTTGTGGTTTTTTTTTAAGATAGCTGTTTCTTAGATGATGTGTTTAAATAACATTCATATCGCTGAGGCTTTCTGGAGCCTTTAATACAGGCTGAAGAATTATCTTTGGTCTTTTAATTGAGAATAAAGAAAATCTGCCAAAAGTGAGGGAGTATCTGACTTTCAGGATACCCGTTCCCTGAGGTTATCCTGGACCTGAATATCCTCATTTCCTAGGGACTGCAAGTGGTTGAAACAGCCCCTCAGCACTGATGGTGGCTAACCCAGTTTAGAGCAGACCCCTGAGAAAAGGGAGGTGAGCCTGGCAATAAAGAACTCAGCAGGACATTACCAGCAGAAATGCACCTTTGGATACACTGAGAACGACTGCCTTGGTGCCCTGAGTCCGTCCATAGGGACTCACACAGCAGGGAAACTACTCAAGTGAGGGCAGCATGACTGTATGTCACATTGCAGCAGCAAATCTCCCCAGCTACAAAGTGTCCAAAGTCTTAATAAAATCTTTCAGCCAAAGACTGGAGTTATGGCTGTTATTAAACACATTAAAGCTCTAAGTGATTATTTGGTTAGCTAGCAGAAGATAAATGGGTAAACAGGCTGGTTGCTCATTAGAGCTATCTCAGTGATTCTTGGAAGTTATTTGCTTTTAGATCTGCACTGACGCTTTGGGCGTTTATTTTCTCTAGATTACTTCAGTGTGATTTTGTTTTATGAAAAAAAAAACAACCCTACATTTTCATGCTATACACTAAAGTAGAAAAAATGAACAAACATTCCTTTAAAAATATCCCTTTAAAAGAGAAACTGGACAATGGCTACCTTTCAAATTTTTTAAGTCTTTAAGTCTTCATTCTGCTTTCTCTCTTTCTTCACTCCTACCTTCTGTTCTACCTTTCTCCACAGATTATAGTCAAGTACTATCTGAACAGATTCAAATTAAACCTAATTAATTTATGTATCTCTTCATCATGAAAGTAATCTGAATGCCATAACAGACCAATACTAAGACACATTGCACAGTATTTTTTCAAGAGTTAACTGAGTAAAGTAAAAAGAGGCAAAGACTGAAACTGAGCTTCATTAAAGAAATGTCTGCCTCAGAGAAATATTTAACCTCAGAGAAAAACATTCAAATGCCAAGCAACAATAAATGTTAGTCTTTTAAAAATGACATAATAGGGTAAGGTGATTGGATTTTTAAATCCCCCTGTCCATGTCATAGCTAAGATGCAATTATCAGTGAAAAAAATAGTGAAATTCACCTCTTGCACATACACAATATTGCTTCAGAATATATATGATAATTAGCTGATATGTAAATCTTAAACAAAGCCACTTCTGCCATGGAGGACAGTGCAAATCATGTACTGAAATAAAAATGTTACTGAAAAATATAAAGGTAAGAAAATGAAAATCTATTTTTGGATATGATGGAAGACCCAGACTGAGAGATAGTAAACACTTTTGCATTAGGTCTGCATCATATTGAAAACTGACACACAAGAGGAAAACCTACTTTTCAGGGAAATCACTGAATCCCATTGCTGAGGAAAAGGCATCAAGGAATGTAAATAAAATTGTCATAGGCTTAGTTCCTTAGTTGTATAAGAATGATTTGTAATTAACTCTGTCCATCAAAACAAGAGGGATAAGCAAGAGATATACGCTAAGCAAGACTTCACTCAGGGACTGATCAAGACCTGCTCAAGTAAAAGTGAGAACACCCAAAAAATGTACAGCATGAACTAAAAGAGATTGGTACATTAAATACTCATCTCCACACTCTCCCACTCTATGTAAGCACTGAAAATCTAAAGCTGTGCAATGACGAACGTTGAAGTTGGATGGGAGAGGGAACCCCAGGCAAGAGGCCTTTCCTTTTACCCCTTGCTCCGAGGGGGAGCGGTGCTCCCTTCCTCTCCTCCCTTCACCCCAGCGGTACCTCACGGCCCCCACAGAAGAGACCAGAGCGCCTGCAGCAGGCAGGAAGGAGCAGGCAGAGAGGGTTTGTTGTTCTGGGTAGCGACTTAAATACCTTTGGAGGGGATCAGAAAGTGACCACTGGGAGTCCAGGAGGTCTTACAAACAGCCAATTACAAGAAAGGGTTAACAACCAAATAGATGAGCTTCCAGCTATCTCTTAGACATTCCAAAGATACAAGTAAGGGATCTTGGGAACAAGAAGGGTTACACAAAGAGTTACACCATTTTGGAAGCATGCTCACTTTAAACAATCATTACAACTGCAGCATATTTTCTATACACCACAAGCATACTGCAACAGTGATATATCTAAAGACTTTTATGCATTACCTTTAGTAGGTGCTTTCTTTTCAGGTTTTTCTAGCTTTTCAGGTTTCTCTTTGTGAATAGCTAGAAATAAAAAACAACATTCTTAAAGGTCATTTAAGAAGATAAAAGTTGCATTTTAAGTGAGGGAGAGGAGAAAGAAAGATGAAGAAACACAACTAGGCACTATGGTTATCCACGCAAAGAATGCAAAAGATTGATTCAGCTGCTGTTGGCTGCTGCTGATGCAAAAAAATGGGATTCGAACTTTCAAAAACTCGTCTACCATTCCTGAGGTCTTTGCCATTGGCTGGGGAAGGAGTGGCTTTTCTAGCTCAGCTGTAATCCCATGAAAGAAACTAGTCAAGAAGAGTCATACTTATTGATGTTGTTTAGGGGTTTCTTTTTTCTTTAATATATATTTATATAATGTAATTTATTTGTTAATTTTATTTTATTGTTATGTTTGAGCTTTCTTGTTTATCACTTTGGTTAATATCTGAAGGATTTTCTGAACTCCACAGAACAACTAATAGTTTTTCCAGCTATGAATGATTAAACACTATAATTAATTACAGATCTAATTGCAATGACATTATAACTAATGTTCTTTGGGGCTTTTTGTTTGCTTTTAATTTCCACTTTACAGATTCAAATTATCTACACTGCAGTGACTAGATTTCTGGCTCAGGTTTCAAAACACATCTGAGTTTCACAATAGTCACTGAGTGGTGGGTAGTCTGGAATATTCTCCTATGGGGGCTCTGATTTGCTAATTTTTTGCTATTAATGTTTACACAGTAATTTGTCCACAGGTATGCAGAACTGATACTTTCATATGCTCATATTCACTACAGGGACCATGCGTGTCAAAACACTCAGCTCCCTGTTTGACTCTTGTATATTAGATTATACACAAAAATGTATGCGTGAGCATTGTGTTGGTGTTTAAAAAGAAAGTAAGAATTGTGGAAGATAAAACAGTGCTAGATATTTTTTATTACAAGTAACTACTGAAAGAATTAATCCTGTCCTATTCAATGCTTTTTTCTTATGGCCTGCCTCATTACCTCTGTTTACAGTCTATCAGGTGTTTTTTTCTTGGATGACCACAGTCTCTTAGCAACCATACTTATTGTGAGTGTTGAAAATACTCAGTGATTACCATGAGATTATATTAATCCAATGTACAAAATATATTATCTCCCTTCTTCATTAAAAAACCTCAAAATCATGCAGAAGGAATACAAAATGCCACTCGGTCTGTGAGTCTGCAAACCTTTATATAATCTCATTATTTTTATTCACGTTATTCTATAACTTTTCTGTCCAATCAAGGGGATGCATAAATGGAAATTGAGTAGAGAATTAGTGCTGGGTTATCTCCAAATGTGAAATAAAATCTGACATTAAATAATTACCTGCGTGCCTTTCCTTTTTTTCCGGTTTTTCTTGTCTTTCCACTTTGTCTTTATGTGTCACTAGGAAAGAAAGCGTTATATATGTTAAAAAAAAAAAAAAAATGTGGAAACATTTAAGCATCAAAAATAATTCCTAAGCCTTAGGAGACAAAATGGCAAACTGTGTTACTCCTGAGCTATCCCGTGCATATTCACACAGCATACATCCCACTTCATGTGTATGAGCAGCCAACTCCAGCTAACAAGTTACTGCCATGGTAACATGCCTCAGCTGTTTACTACAGTAGCATCATCTCCTGCAATTGTCTGTCAATTCCTGAAGAGAGATTTTCAGAAAAATGTTGAGGACTAAGGCAGAGCTCACAGTAAATGCTGCTGCCTGCAATAGAAAGAGGACTTCACCCAATCCACTCCATACTCTGTCAGACATAGGTTGTAAAATTCCTGGAATGGATCCTGGAGCATAAGAGCATCACATGCACAAATGATACGTGTATCGCTTGCCAGATGGCTTGAAATGGATAACCAGTAATGGATATGGATAGCTAGTAATGGACACTAGCTGAGATCAGTCTCTGGCAATGATGATCTCAGAACCATAATTAGATGCCCAGTATGTGCAAAGTGAAGACTAACATTATGACAGTGGAAACTGCATTATGCTGTCCACTGAGAGCACATTTTCCACTCATTTTTCTTAAGATTTTACACTATAATTTTGCAGAAAAATAAAAATTAACATGTAGATTTTAGACTACTTCAGAAAAAACAGCTGTGAAACTGCAAGCTAGCTTTAACTCCTGTGGAGATTTCATTCAAGTTTAGGAAAACTCCCTTTGACAAACATAAGGAAATAAGGAACTTCCATTACAGTACCATGAATTCTATATCTAAATGGAAGCAAAAGAAGAATGGCATCACCAGCTGGTCAAGGGAGGGGATTGTCCTGCTCTGCTCTGCACTGGTGCAGCCTCACCTTAAATATTGTGTGCAATTTTAGACACTGCAATAGAAGAAAGGTATTAAGCTATTAGAGAGCATCTACAGGAGGGCCATGAAGATGCTGAAGGGCCTTGAGGGAAGCTGTATGAGGAGTAGCTGAGGTCTCTTAGTCTGTTCAGCCTTCAGAAACGAGACTTAGGGGAGACCTCATTGCAGTCTACAACTTCCTAGTGAGGGGAAGAGGAGGGTTCAGGCACTGATCTCTTTTCCGTGGTGACCAGTGACATGACACAAAGGAATGGACTGAAGCTGTGTCAGGGGAGGTTTAGGCTGGACATTTTGAATGGTTCTTCACCCAGAGGCTGGTTGGGTACTGGAACAGAGAAGTGGTCACAACACCAAGCCCAATCGTTCAAGAAGCATTTGGTTGATTCTCTCAGGCACGTAGTGTGACTTTTGGGAATAGGTGCAGGGCTAAGGGTTGGACTCAATGTCCTTGTGTGTCCATTCCTAGTCAGCATATTCTGTGATTCTGTGTATAATAGTTATTATTCTTTTTCACTTGTTGTCTGAGATTGGATGGGATAATTTTTTCCCTTTCCAAGAAACTTAAAAAACCATTAAATATTGTTCTCCTGTGAAATCAAATTGAAGAGTTCCTTGTTTTCCACATAATAACACAACCCTTAAAGACACATTCATGTCTTAATATGGGACATTATTGGTTTTACACTGTCATTTTTCAAAATTTCAGAAAAAATTCCTCGTGTTACCACCATTTCATTTTCTAGTAATAAACATTCATTCTGTCAGAAATCTGAATTTATATGCCTGCCATTAACCTCATAATTTAGTCTTGTTAACTCAGTGTGTTATCAGTTACTTATATAAAATGGAAAAGCTCTAATCAGAGACCATTAGAAAGGCCTAGTTAAGCACAGATTTCAGGAAATGTACTTTCACTCAGGTTGTGAAACTTGTGTTCTTGGCCTGAATAAGTCTGCTGTTGCTGGATATTCAGTCTTCCCCTTTTTTTGGGTGATTTATTATGACCACTGGCCTATCTACTCTTCCAGAATGTGTTACTTCCTCCAGCCCAGGACCACATTAGTCACATTTTTGTGCAAAGGATATGTCCTCAGAAGGCTTAAATTGTTTTGACAAGTAGGTACCCTCCAACAAAGTTTCATTTTGCTAAAATATCCCTCACAGAAGACTATGGTGAGGCGGTGTCTCTTGGAACGCTAACTCATGAGTTGTGGGTGGAGAGTAAGCCGTATCCTGATTCTGACTCCTGCAACAGTCAGATCTTAATTTTTTGTTGGCATACACTACCAAAAAATTAATAAATTGTCTCTAAAACCTCTCCCCAGTGTCCCTGAAATGAATCTGGAAGATTTTCTATTTTTTTTTCTAAGGAGGGTCTCCAATGTAGAATGTCTCCAGGGACCATATCCAGTATGTTGTAATTTACTCATTACATTTTTTTAGGAGTATTCTCAATGACAAATATCATGCTTGGATTTATTCAGGAATTCAAAATATTCTGTGATTCTCTGGTAAGAATAAAAAAGGCACCTCTTTATTCTCTGGGCATCTTTTACATAAGTTAATAATGCAGTAAAGATTTATTCATTAGTCCCTGGATATAATTTCAGACTTTTTGTACAGTGATGGATTCAAAGTGCTTTTAAAATCCTTGTTCTCCTTCCAGCTGGCTTTCACAACACCTCCTCCATCCTTAAACATAATTGGGATCTAGAAGAACAGTCTAAGAGTCAATAGATTAGATTATTTCAAACCACTGGTGAAAAGACAATATAAAATGCTGAATACATACCCTTTAGGGGTTCCTTCCTCTCAATTTTTTCTTGCTTTTCAGGTTTATCTCTGTGAATTGCTACAAACAAACAATAAACAAATAAATAAATACAACACAGCTCACAATAAATCCGTAATCTAGAGGATACATACACTTATTATCTCACCAAAATGATCAAGGAAAAGCATTTGTAAATTCAAGTAGTAGATTTTAGCTCTGAGTCATGGGTACTTGTTGATGTATAGAACTTCTTAATATCAATATTTAATTCCAGGTCCAATAGAAATATTTTTCTTTGAATAACCTTTCAGAAGTTAGACTATATTTTTCTGAAAGAAGTGATTATTCAGCAACCTTAATCCAATCTGTCTGATCTCTTTTGGTCCCATTACACAAGCACCCTGGCTCTAAGATTTCTGACAGAAGAAATTATTTTCAGTACTTGACAGCATTGCTTTCTATTCTTAACCAAAAAACCTGCCAGCATATTGCTTTCTCTGCTATTTTTTCTTTATTTTTAGCTGTTACTTCCGTCACAGGGTAGATTAACAAGAAAACATCTCTTTTAATCAGTGTAACTTCAGGAAGGGCAGCTGTTCCAAACACAACCGACTTCATGTCCTACTAGAAGAAGGCAAACATGAGTCCTTATGGACCCTATTGCCTACCCAACTTTTAGACCATGTTTTGGTATGGTTCTGTCCCACATCCTAATGATTTAGGTAGACATTTTGTTCTTTGTCATTCCTTGTCAACCTGTTCTACTAAAAGACTAGAATTTTGCAATATCATGGAAAAAAATTATTTTCTTTTCAATACTCAAGTTTCTGTCAACAAGTAAACCCAGAAACCAAAACTTTGATTGTTACAGTGAGTTTTTTACATAAGCATATTAATGCTTTTTCATCCATTCATTTTACCAGCTTTGTAGCGAACGTCATTTCGCAGAAGTACAAGTATTTTTTGTCAAGTATTTCTGCACTAGAAAATAGGTCATTGTCCTTAAGAAAAATAATTCAGAACATTCAGTAAATTCATTATGTCTTATATGTGTTTACATTATCCAAATATATTTCCAGTCATAACAGGTAAATTATTGTTGATAACAAATAGCAGTACAGTGGAAAGAGATTAAAGGGAGACTTTTCAAAGCCTGTAGGAATGTGGACAACAAATTTACACTAAAAAAAAGCAGGCTGTGAAAAATGCAGCAGTACCAGCGATGTATTATTGAATGAATTACAGACTGTAACTCATTCAGGTGCTTTAGGACATCTAGTAGCATACCAAGGAAAAGTCATTCTCCTCTCTATATATACCACGTAGAACTTAAACTGAATATTTTTTTGCAGAAATTGTAGCATGCTTTTACAACTTACATTTATATTAGCAGATGCTCACTCTATGCAAAACACTTCAAAACAGTATGTTATCAGTTTTGGCTGGGGCCATAGAACAGTTTTGCAAACAACAGTTCTGTGATGGTCAATGTAAGTGAAACATGAGCTTCTGCACATTCAGACAAGAGCCCTTGTAAGTGTCTATGCCAAAAAACACAGATGAACTATTCAGAACAGACTTGTAATCAGAAAGCTTGTTTTTAACCACAGGATATCTTACTTGTGTAAGAGAGACTGTTATGGACATGATTTGAGGAGAAAAATCCCAGAGCAAAACAAAAAACACCACCAGAAAATGAGCCTTGAATGACACTAACTGAATTGAGTGTCAGCAGACCTAAAAGTGGACAGAAAAATTTAAAATTCCTTCACATCCTCAAAGCTGTATGAAGGACTAAGATGCATAAAGTTATTAATATTGATGTCGACTAGAGTTAAAACCATGGAGAAGGGATCAGTTGGCCCCTTCTTGAGAAATAAAAAACTTGATGTATCTGGGCAGGGAGCCTGGAATGTTAATAAGCAGAGACTAGGCTGGCATAAGCATAAACTATTTTTCTCCTCCCAGTTATAGGCCGAAGGTGATCTCTGGTTAGTTCAAGAGCCCTATCCTGTGGCTGATATCCCCACAGCCTCAGAGGTTGCTAATCTCAGATTGTAATGTTTACCATTACCTCTTATGGACACTGTCAGAGCTATGGCTTCCCTAATTAGGGAAGGGCAGGTGCTGCCAAAAATTAAAGTGTTCATGTTTCAGGGATGTGATGACTGGCCATTTTTGACTCTTCAATCACAGGTCCACTAAAATGCACTGAAGTTTTTGACCTGACAAATTTAAATATGATATTTGTTAGCATATTAGCTCCCCATTGAAATGTTTTTGTGTTCAGTTTCATATACAGCCCTAAAAACTCTGTCATGGAAAATACATCACTGTCTATAGATCTTTTCCAGATTTTGTCACTTGGATGTCTATTTCTTTGTAAGGGTCTTAATATATGCCCTTTTTCAAGCCTGCAGCACTCGATACCAGCATTAGGTTTTAGAATAAACCAGGCTGGCTGTACTGTGAAACAAATTAGACTTGATCAGATTTTCTTTTCCAAACAAACAAACAAACAACAAAAAAAAAAGAAGAAGAAGAGAGAGAGAGAAAGCATATACAAATGTTTTTAAGGTTACTCAGTCATACAGTTTTCAGTTGAGAAATGCTGAAGCTAAAATTGTTCATTCAACTTTAATTCAACCATTTTATTTGCTTTATGACACACTTTAAAAGATCACCTCTTCTCTTTTGTTAATAGGATGCTGGATTCATCAGAAAAAAAATTTAAGAAGAATAACTAAAATATGGTTTATAACAATTGTGTAAGCTAAAAATTTCCACAACTTAAAAGAAGTTTTCTCATACTTCTTTGCAAATACCAAAAGTCATAAACTCAGAACGAATCGTTATTAGCACTGGAAAAAAATATAACACCTCAACCCAAATTTTCACTAACCCAGATTTTGGAAATTGCTGAAACATTTTTATACGTCTCTGAATGAAAATTCAGCCTGAGGCAAAAAGATGAGAATGAGAAATTTCATCCTCAGTGACTGGAGTGTGATAAATTTATAAATAATCTAAAACAGGAGCTCATAATGGAAAATTTTAAGGTAATTTAACAATGTATTTCAAAGTTAATATTGCTATCTACTTCACATAATATTAAAAAAAAGCAACATAGCATATATGTGAGAGGATTTTCCAAATTTCAATCATCATAATAGATTCTATTTGCATCAAGTTGAAGACATAGTAAAAGGGGATGTGATTTAGTTTTTTTCCCATAAAGTTCTCCAACAAAAATATTCCACACCCCAAAACAGAAAGTGCAAAAATAAGAGATGTAGTAAGCAGGCACTAGTTCCATACCTAAGGGAAGTAAAAATAGTTTCCAGCTGAGTAAGTCTTAAGTCTGCTGCTTAGTATAAAGCTAGGTGATGAGTGCAGTAAGCATGAAGCAGAGATTGCTCGCTCCAGCTAACTGACTAAGTGCTTGTCTACAGAGCAGCACTTCAGGAAAGTTAAGATAAATGAACTAATACAATGAAGTTAGAGTGCATTAGTCAGAGAGCATTAAATCTCTGAGTAGATGCTTTCATTTGGAAGTAAAGTAACTGTAGATGGCTATAACTTAATTCTTCTTGAAGGAACACTGAAAAAAAAAAAAAAAAAAGGCTTGATCTGGAGAGGGTCATAGACTCCCAGGTCCAAATCAGTAGTTTAAGGAAACCACAGTTAGGTCACTATCTGTACCATGTTCCCTAGTTTAAAGTTAATGCAGGCATGTTTGTACCTGTGCCTCAAGAAATCAATCTAGACAGCCCTGTGTCAAAAATATGCCATTTAATTTGCTAACTTGGTCAAATTATGTAGGTTTCAAGTATGCTATGGATTTATATGGTCCAGGTCTACTTATCTATTTAGCTGTCTCAAATATTTTGTCTTCCAGCTACAGCATATTACATTATTGGGACATATTATATTTGTATTTATAATCTCATAATTTATCCATATGTTAAAATACAGAGAGCTTTATTCTGGGATGTTTCATATTTGCATTATCAGTACAGCCTTATTAACAAGTCATTATGCTAGTTATAGTAAATGAAATAGTCTTGAAGGGCCTGGACCTTATTTGTCAAATCATCCTGAATTCAGAGATACTTTCTGAAAGAAAGCCGGTGTGGCTATTGTTAACCCAGAGGCACACATGTATCTGTCTTAAAATCACTGTTATTTAATATATGTCTGTCAGAGGTAGCCATCGTTATATTGTTTTATTCCTTACCTTACTCCAACAGCAATGTATTAGTGAAGAGATTTTGGGAAAAGCCACATGGTTAATCAACCTTTTCCCATTTCTTCTCAATGCCTCTTGTAATTAAAGCTAGAGCATTTCCCAGAAATTCAGGACAATTAGTTTTCCATAAAAATCAGAAATTATCATTGGACCTTCCATTAGACAGAACTTAGATATATTTTTATCTTGATGTTTTTTATTATTGTTCTTACTTGCTGACAACACAGTGCACAGTTACATCTTATTTATTGCAAGCAATAATAATAACAATTATGACATCTATTTCTTAAACAGCCTTCAGCAGCATCTCAGAGTCCTGCAAAATCTACAAATTGTCACAAAATGATGAACTCACAGACAGCTGGCCCAGGCTGAGGCAGCACCGTCCCTCATCCTCCCCCCTCAGGACATTGCAGTAGCCCCACACTGAATTTGCCACATTTTATGGATGTCTTTCCTGAACTGGAAGGCCCAGAACTGGGTGCAGTATCTAGATGTGGTCTCAGGAGAGTTTAGTACAGGGCGATGATTAATCCCTTACCTCCACTGGCTGGCCAAGCTCCTGCTCATACAGTCCAGGATGCCACTGACCCTTGTGAAAGTACTAATACATCAAATACCAAATTGGAAGGACCCTGTTTTGTAGTGAATTTGTGCTTATGTGTACACATAATCATTAAATAATTTGATATCAGGGTTCTTAAGCGTGACCAACTGCTTCTTGGAATTATTTCTCATAGTATTTCTCCTTTCCAGGATTAAATTGACTACAGTAATTGAAATGGACGTTATTACTAGTAGTTTATCAAAATATTTAATTAAAAGCAAATTTTAGGGCAAAAGTTTGCCTAGTTCTCAATACTGTTAGAATCTTATAATTTCAACCACTTCCATCTGGGATTTTTATTCATTACAACTATTCTTCATATTTCAGTTCAGTCTTTCCAAAATGAGGTTTATGGATGGAACTCCCTTGTAAATTGTGGGACTTTGAATGAAAGGGTTTGACTATTCAAAAAAACCCAACAAACTAAATTACTTTTAAAACTCTAGTGTCCTCACATGTTTGGGTGGAGAATTGAAATTCTTTCTGTTGTTTGCTGTTATTAAAAACATTCATTTTACCTCTGGATTTTTCCTATTCATAACAACAAAAGATGGTGTTTGTACATTCTTCCTGAAGGTATTTTAGAAGGCAACAGTAAAATTCCACTAAAGATTCATGACTTTATCCCACTCTAGACTGAAGCCAGACAGAATGTTTTCTAGTAGATGATCCTCCTATGTACAAGTTGCATTTTTGGAACTAAACATGAAAACGAAACACAGAAAAAAAATATTTGTCTTGTGCTTCAGTAACTGTATAATTAAAAGCTGCATTATCAGGCACATACATAAAGGGACTTAACAAATGACACGTGAACATATATTTTTTTTGGCATTTACAACTTCTTAGTAATAATTTCTGCAAGGTTAATGTTCTTCTATGTAAACCAATGTAATTCTGTATACACGAAATGGTACACAAGAGGCTGTTCTTGTCAAGACTGCAACATCATTTGTTTCTTTTAGATTACTGTGATGGAAAAGACCATAACTGGGATCCCTTGCTAATGGATCTGAGTTTGTTATTGCCTGGCTATATGGTATCCTAAAAAATTCCTTCTGATCCGACATGATTTACTTAGTAGTTGGAAAGTAGTCCTAGGCAGTCCAGAGGACCCAGATTAGCACGGAACTGCTAAGCTAGCTCCAGACATGTAAAGTACTATAAGAACATACTAAGAATATATATAGAAATGAATATAATTGTGTGAGAGAGGATGTATGTTTAATAAGATTCCTTCTATGTTTAATAAGATTCCTACTATGTTTAATAAGATTCCTTCTGGCTTCCTCCTGCCATTACCAAGCACAACACTGGTGCATCAGAGGGATGCTCATCAAGTTTTATGTGGTCTAACCTTTACAGGAGAGCTTTCTTAGGCAAAAAATCTGCACATATCCCAGGAAACTTCTTTGTTTACATGACCTCTGAGAACCAGTCCAAACCAGTTCCTCTGTGGATTTTTGGAAAGTGCCAGTTATAAGAGATTAAGCAGTGTGAAAAAGAGTAGGTTCTTAAAATGAAGGCCTTTCTTATCTCTGATACACACCTGGCTCACTTTTAACTATGACTTTCTAACTTGGATGGCACCCACTGGCCTATAAACTTACTTTTTCCTTGCCTAACACACTTCATGCCTTTTGCACCAGAGGAATTTTCATCAACACTCTACTTTTTTCATCTTTGCTAGAAAAAAGATTACTGGAAAAGTTTGGCTTGGAAAATCTTATTAAGAATGTGCATTTACAATATAGCCACACAAACATAAAATTACGGTTTTTTGTTACAGCTGAGATATACAGGAATTTTTGATCTTTTACAGTCAGTGCCATCTGATCTTTGGATGCTTTTATAATACAACGGTGGTAACATACTTAACAAAGACATGGTATAACATATATGTAGGTAAACAGACAAACAAACAAAGTTACCCTTTGTTGGTGTTCGTTTTTCATGTCTCTCTGTTTTCTCTTTATGAATTTCTGAAAAGAATGCAATGCAGATTTATCAATTTCAAAATAATTTTCACATATCAGATGCATTCTCATAGCAAAACAATTAAATTTGCCAATACTTCAAATATTATAGCAGAACCACAGCTGTATCACCTCCATATTCAGAATTACATCCAATATTATTCAATTATATATATATATATACACATAGAAAATAAATATGGATAAAAATCACAGCATTAAGTGTCTTTAATAATTATTCTGTTCTTAATTGAGCCATACAGCTACTTTTAAAGACAAGAATAGGTTTTGCTGATCTATATACAGAAATATGTTGGTCATGCATCAGAAAAAATATACTTTTACTAAATATTTTCTGTATGTATCTTGAGTTGTTCACCAAGATTAGCATTGTATGTTTTCCAAATTACCTTTGGAGAGGGAAAAATTTCTTTGTGCTTTGTTTTCTAAAATTTTTAAAGCTCACATACTGAGCTGGTATCTCCAACACACAACAAAAGGTAGACTCAATGCCGTCTACAAATTACAGAGATAAAAGTTTCCAAGTTAGGGCTCATCATCTCAGAGAACAGCATTTTAATCATGCTGTATACCAAAACACTGAGAACTACCTTTTTAGAAGAGGAAGAGGTTACAGTATTTATCTACCCTTTTTATGCCATCTCTTTGGAACAAAAATCTTCAACTATAATATTGATATTAAATTACTGCTATATGCCTCCATAAGTATTTTTTCTACTGTCCTTATTGTTCCAAAACCAGGAAAATGTTAAAAATTAAAAATGTTGAATTTTAGAAAGAGCAAACCAGGATGAAATCAAGCTTTCATAGCCCTGTTGACATGTAGTTGTAGAAATTCAAAGGGTATTTATTATAGGTGTATAATAAATTCATTAAAACTATGCAGAGTGCCTTTTTATGGTATTGTGCATATATTTCCTACAGTAAGAAACTGGTATAAAATCCAGAATTATATTTGTTTTTGACAAAAGCAAGTGCAGATCTCACTAAACTGTGGGAGGTGCCTCCTTGTTTTCCAGTGTTACTTTTTGTCTGCAGGGTCTAAATAACAAGAACACTGACCTGAAAGTTAATCCAATAGAAAAAAGTTATGCATATTACATCTCAACCCTAAGGAGTTTCTTTAATGCCTATCGAGGACAACTCAAATCTTCCACTTACAACCTTAGTTATTTTCTCAGGTTGTAACAGGATGTACATTGCCAAACAAATCCAGTAGAAAATGAAAATTTCCCTCCCCAAATCTTTGCATAGGTCCTTGAAAAAAACCCAGAATGTTTTTATTAGATAATATTTGGTATCTGAAATAATGATTGTGTCTGGTTTGCAAAAACATAACTTTTCTATGATATCAGTCTATGTTTTCTTCAGATAAGACATTATTTCATCAAGATAAAGACTAAGAACAGGTAAAATATATACCACTGTTAGCTGCTAGTGCATGGCAGCATAATTAAGCTAATTATATTATGTTATTAAGCTAAAAGGACTTTTTATTCGTTTTTCATCTTGCTCATTTCAGCCCTGTGTGTAGTTCATTTATTGTTCTATAAACCTCTAGGCTGTGATTAGGAAGAAATATACTTTACTGATTTACTGTATATCAGCTGAACTGGGATCATTTTTCTTTCTTCATCTATGTGAGAATATTTTATTTCTGCTGACTAAGAGAATCCAGTTGCTGGATTCCCATTTCTTCTGTTTAAATGGATGCATGAACTAGTTTAGGTAGCGTAAGTGGTAGGAATGGTGCAAGACAAGAACAGCTGGAGGATTGCTCCTTAATTCTGGGCACATCTGAGCAGTTCTCCATGCTGTTGCTCCAGACTGCCTCCAAACATTGACTCAGAGGACTTAATGAAGGTTGAGTCACTTCCTCTACATTGCAACATACAGTCGAGACATATCTTACCCAGTTCAAGAGGTCACCCTACACAGAAATAATACAACCTACTAAGTGATAAATCATATTCTTCAGGCAGAGGCATTCACACAGACACATATTCCTCGCTTGCCTTAAAATGCCTCAGCTCTGCTGTGTTTTCATCATCTGTTATGTGTCTCACTACATAAAATAGGCATATTCTTCTTGAAAAAATAAGTATAAACATTTGTTAATTAAAAAAAAAAAAAAAAGTGAAAAAACCGGCTTTAAAGTTACTGTAGGTTTAGGAAATTTATTGCTAGTTTGACTGCAAAATATGTATGGAGCAACGAGTGTACAACTGGTTGTCTAAATCAGGCTCACGTTGTATCAGCAGTGAAGCTTGCTTCACACTATGATGCACAAAAAGGTACTTTCTAGACAACTGCACTGAGAATGTCATCTAACTCCCTGCTACAATTAGGATACCACACATACAAAAAACTGTACACAAATTCCTCGAAGTGAAATGCATCTTCATAATATGCAAGTGTGTGTGTATATGCTTTTATATATTGCAAAGTGTCCCATAATTAAGAGCTCTTCACAAACTCCCCATGATAGTCTGAACCATCATAAATGTTGCAGCCTGGAACACATCAATTCTGATACAATACAACCCAAATTTTCCCAGCACAAATAAATCATCTCAATATAAGCTGTTCTGGATCAATTTTTAAGATAGAAAACAGTGACTATTTACTAACTTCAAAATATTTAAAATAAGGAAGCACATTAGATTATTGGATATTTTTTGTTGTTGTTCTGAGAGTTCTGATATTCTCTGCTTCATCTTTCATGACAAATAGCCTTAATTTTCTACTAATCATATCATGTCTTATTGCTGAGTTGAGAATGTGGCTATAATATCATAGAAGACTTACATGGCCAGTTTAAAGCATGTAATTTATCTCTATCAGTGACACATTGTTAATAAATCCTAAATATTATGAATTTTTGTTTAGAAAAAGACAGAATCAAGCAGCAGCAAGGATAATCTTTGTTACCACAGCAACCATCCAGATTCTTTATGAGATGACAGGATGGTTTACTAAATTATTGTAAAAGAATATGTATTTTAAAAGCTGTATTTCACTGTTTGTTTTCTCAAGTTATTAAGCAGACATGAAAAATTATTTTTCTCCTTGTGTTTCTTCAGGTTTGAATGGATAAATCCTTAATTTCCTTAAACATGGATACTGCTTGATGCTGATTTCTCTAGACCTCGGGTCTTGTGCAGATACACAGAACAGGTAGGGTGATTATTTTAAATAACTCCAAGAAGGGAAGCTAGTAGTCTTCTCATTGACCATTTCGAGATGCTCAAAGGAGACATATATATGCTATATATGCTATATATATGCTATATATATGCTATATATCAGTATATGACTATACTGATATATCTATGTACTGTTGATCCAAATCAGACCCTCACAATCATCGGAGGATCAGTATTGCAGGCAGCTTTACTGAAAATCCCTGCTGAACATGCAGTCTGGGCACTAGCTTCCCCCACCCCTCACCCAGCTAATTTTCATTAACAGCATTTGACAGTGTCTAATGACAGCACAGTACTGGCCGTGCACTCCAGCTCCAGGAAGATCAGGGTGGGAGAAAATAATTACAATCCCTTGCATCCCTGTGAACTAGGATGTCAACACTTGCAGGTTTACATCAGTGTGAATGAATAGCACAGCCATTCATGGTAGGGAGTGAGGAGATTCTCCTGGTCCTGATTCCCTTCTTTTTCTGTGTTTGTGTTTCTGATTTTGATGGTTCTTTATCTTCTTTTTTTTTTAACATGGTAAAATAGATGGCATTATTCTTAGCTATTTTAGTTGTATTGTATTATGGTAGCGTTTAGGTGCCTCAGACTGCATTAATTACTTTAGGTACCACATGGGGTTATAACACAATATAAATATCCCATCTCTGTAACACAGGAATTCAGACTTTCTGAATTCTTCTCTTAGTGGGAAAACACAGCTCCGCATCTGGCTTCATTAGAGGATAAAGTGGTGACTAGCATTCTGGTATTGTTAAAACAGCCCCTAAACCTCAACCTCTGCTGAGTTTTTTTCTAACAGATGAAATATACCTTTAAAAAATCCCAATAAACCATATTAAAAATGTAAATAATATGAGAGAAAAAGTGAGGAAAAAAAAAAAGGATTATTGTTCCCATTGGAAACACAAGAATGCTTTACTGAATGTAACCCAGAAAGTCAGCAAAGGACATGGGACTAAACTGAACTCTGAACTTAACTCTGAACCTTTACATTCAATATTATCCCTTCATGCTTAAAGCCAGCCTGTTTCTACTTAAATACTGCAGTGAGCATAGAATGTAGTTTTAATATATCTAGTATTTTAAAGGTATAATTAAGCATATGGAATTTTATGTGAAATGAAAATACATTTTTTCTATGGAACTCTTACCAGTTGGTTGTCTTTTTCATAATCTGTTACAGGTAAGACAGCACTATACCCCTTCAGTGCATTGACATTCTTACTCTTATAAATATCTAAGGAAAATGAGTCCAATTCAGAGTCCTGTAAGCCAGAGGTTAATGATTAGCTTTTGAGCAATTAAAACCCTTACATCTATTGCCAGCAATTTAATGGGGCTATATCTTTGTTAGGTTGTCAAGACTAATTGGTAGCAGGCAGCTGAAGAGTTGGTGGAAATAGATACTGAGGGCAAGGCAAAAGTGAGTGGTGTTAAGGGCTTTGGAAGATGAGAGAGATGTCATTTCTAATGTGTTTTTAGATGCCGTCTGTATGAAGAATTTTAGTCAACTCTCTTGCTGTTGGTATCCTCAGGAGAAATTTGCAATTGTACAGCTGATGTCTATTTTTAATCCAGACAGTACCAGCTGGTGAGGGTGACAGTTATCCTTGTGGGGCTAGGAGGAGAAGAAAGGAAGCTAGAGCAACTTCTAGCTAACTTCTAATACATCATGTAGCTGTACTCTGGAGGGACAAAAAAAAACAAACCCACAGCAAAACCAAAACAAATTTTGCAACAGCCAAAAAGCACAGGGAAACAAAAAAAAAG